ATAATATACACACATTTATTTGTATGTTGTCTTGCTCATTAGACTATAATCTCCTTGAGGGCAGGAACTGGGTTTTTTTTTGTCTCATTTTGTATCTTTAGCATTTAGCACCGTGCCTGGCACGTAGTACGTGCTTTAAAATTTTTATTGATGGATTAGCTAGATTTGTAGAAAAAGCTCTCCACACTTGCCTCCTTGATTTCTCTTCTCACTCCTCAACCATTTGGAATCTGACCTATGACCCCCTCACTGAAATGAAACTGTTCTCTCTGGAGTTACCCAAACAGAACTTATCCCTTTCCCCAAAAATCTACCCTCCTTCCAAATTCCCAGTTTCTGCCGAGGCTGGCACTGCCCTGGCTTAGGTGATTTCTACCTGCCCCCCCTCACTTCTGATATCCTTTCCTTTCCCTTTCCTCCTGTCTCTTGGCCAACACCTAGGATGAGCCCTTGCTGCTGCCTACCTAGCCCATTCCAGTAGCCTCCTAACCAAGTCTGCCTCTACTCTCCCTTTTTAATTCATTCTTTTTTTTTTTTTAAGAACTAGAGGAAACATTACCTGACCTCTACAAACTGAGACACAGTCTGCAGAAGTATAAGATAGGGAGATCTATGGAAATGAGGTTGATTAAAGTGTAAGTAGTTCTCTTTCCCAGCCCACAAGAGTGGTGTTCAAGATCTTTGATTTTATCCAGTTGATATTTTACCTTTGAGTCCCTTGGAGTGATAGAGATTTAAATGGCGAGCATCATTAGGTACCTGAATTTCCTCTTAGGTTGGTGTTCAGTCATTTTCAGTCCTGTCCTGACTCTTTGTGACCCCATTTAGGGTTTTCTTGGCAAAGATCCTACAGTGATTTGCCATTTCCCTCTCTAGCTCATTTTACTGGTGAGGAAACTGAGGCAAACAGGGTTCACTGACTTGCCCAGAGTTGCATAGCTAGTAAGTGTCTAAGGCTGGATTTGAACTTAGGTCTTCCTGACTCCAGACCTGGTGCTCTACCTACTGCAACCACCTAGCTGCCCACACTGAAGGGGACATCTGGAGAGGTCCCTGATTCCGCTAAGGTATTTTGTTTTAATAAAAATATTTATTTTTGCAACTTGGTCCCGTTGATATGCATATGATCTATTTGACAATAATCTTATTGATTGATTTTTTAACATATATGTATAAAGCCCAATACTCACCATTTTAGATTTGTATAGCTTAGGTTGAAATCTAAGGAGGCTTCCCACTAATTATTCTGTACACGCCACCACCCAGGTTCTTCATTCAGAACATTAGACGATAGTTCAGACCTTTATTATGTCACCCCTGGAACAATGCAATAGCTGCAGGTGGGTGTCCCCCTCTTTAATTCATTCTTAACAATACTCTCAGATCATTCTACCACCACCCCCCTTTTATTTGGTCTGGACCTGTGATTTTCAAGTAGGGTAGGGAATTCTTGGTGTGGAAACTCTCCCAGTGCAAAATGACAGAAGTCTTCCTTATGCAAAGACTGAATAATGTACTCATCTATGCAGAACCCTTCCATCGGTCCCCGTTGTCACAAGAAGAGGAAGGGTAGGGGCAGCTAGGTGGCCCAGTGGATAGAGCACTGGCTATGGATTCAGGAGGACCTGAGTTCAAATGTGGCCTCAGACACATAACACTAGCTGTGTGACCCTGGGCAAGTCACTTAACCCCATTGCCTAGACAAAAAAAAAAGAAGAGGAAGGGTACTCAGAGGCTGTCTAGGCCCACCAAAACTGAGATTACTTCTCCCTTAGTCCATTCCTGTCTTTAGTCAGTCACTAAGCATTTATTAAGCACCGACTTGGTACCAAATGCTAGAGCTACCTAGAGATAAAAGACAGTCCCTGCTCTCAAGGAGCTCACAATCTAATGGGAGTGACAAGCAAATAAATATTTACAAAGCAAACTATATAGGATAAGTAGGAAATAATGAACAGAGGGAAGGCATTAGAATGAACAAGGTTTGGGAAAGGCTTCCTGTTGGGATTTTAGTTGGGACTTGAATGAAGGAAGCTAAGAGGCAGAGATGAGGGGGAGCATTCCATCAGGCCAGAGAAAATGCCCAGAGCAGAGACATGAAAGAGCCAGGAAGCCAGTAACTCTGGATCGAAGTCAGTATGTTAGGGGCCTTGGCTCATGAGTGAATGGGATTTAAGTGAGGGAGGTACTGAAAGCAAGGTTTAAGAAGACTGGAAAGGTGGAAGTGGGGGGTTTGGGTGGATTGTGAAGGGCTTGGGTCACCAAACAGAGGAGTTTGCACTTGAACTTGAAGGCAACAGGAAGCCACGGGAGTTTATTGAATAGGGGAGTGACATGGTAGGACCTGGGCTTTAGGAAAATCACTTTGGCCCCTGAGTAGTGTATGGACTGGAGTGGGGAGAGACTTGGGGCAGGCTGGTGCATTAGTCCAGGTGTGAGGTGATGAAGGCCCGTACCAGGGTTGGGGCAGTGTTAGAGAAGAAAAGGGGATGTATTGGAGAGATGTTGCAGAGATGGAATTGACAGGCCTCGGCAACAGCTTGGATATTGGTGTGGGGTGGCAGATAGTAAACTGTCTAGGATGGCACCCTAGGATGGGAGCCTGAGGGACTGGGAGGGCGGTGTGGTTCTCCACAGTAGTTGGGGCCAGATAGGTAAATTTGAGAATCATCAGCAATAGAGATGGTAATTAAATCCATGGGAGCTGATGAGATCACCAAGTGAAGTAATGTAGAGGGAGAAGAGAACCCAGGTCAGAACTCTATAGGACATGGACTCATTTGTTTTCCGAGAGGACCAATGACATCGATGGTGATGTCTTTCCTGAATTGGATGGTAGAATTGCACAAAATTGTTCATTGTAGATATACAAAAGATTTTTGCGAATTGATGTTATGGAGTAGCTAGGTGGCACAGTGGATAGAGTTCCAGCCCTGGAGTCAGGAGGACCTGAGTTCAAATGTGGCCTCAAACACTTGACATGTACTAGCTGTGTGACCCTGGACAAGTCACTTCAGCCCATTGCCTAGCAAAAAAAAATCAAATTGATATAATTATTTTTTGTTAATGTTCTACTTTTGTTTACTTACATTACATCTTATGGGGGTACAGATTTATTTTCTCCCTTGTATTTGATAAATAGTTCCTTTGGCCTTTTCCTTCTGGGAGTTATTTAATACCAAATAAGTAAATGGAAATATATTAGTTTTATGGGAAATATTTTTTGCAGTAGTCTCAAAGTTATTTTCTATTTATACTTGACAGAAACTTGATCTCTAAACTCTGGAGTCATGTGGATCCATCTCGGTTTAACTGCCGCCATTCTTATTCTCACTGAGTGAACTTTCCAATTTCTTTGGTAATTGTAGCATTTGCTCCTTAGCTACATTAAAAAAAACAATCTGGCTTTTTTGGGGGGGCTGGAAGTACTTATCTCTTCACAGATACAAGTTGATTCAACAAGATTTTATTGGAGACCTGTTGTCCATATAGCACTCTGCTTGGTGCTTGGGTAATTAAGAGTTTAGATAAAACTGGGTCCCCATCCTCACGATGTGCACTTCTTTGAAGGGTTAGGACACACACAAAAAATAATTCTTTATAGTCTCACATCACTTCCTTGCACTGAGCTGGGCCTTGAGTCAGGAAGACCTGAGTTCAAATGTGGCCTCCAACACTTACTAGCTGCGTGACCCTGGGCAAGTCACTTAACCCTGTTTGTCTCAGTTTCCTTATCTATCAAATGAGCTGGAGAAGAAATGGCAAACCACTCCAATATCTTTGCCAAGAAAATCCCAAAATGGGTCACTAAGAGTCAGACAGGACTGAAGGACAACCTTGCATTGAGAAGTGATGTCATATGAAAGGGTGCTGGACTTTAGAATCACAGGTTACACCTTCAGAATTGGAAGGAATCTTCCAGACCATTTAGGCAAATCACTTCATTTTTACTGATGGAGGAACTGAGTCTGGAAGACTTTGATTCAAATCCTGCCTCTCATACATAGGCGACAGGCGACTGTGGCATAATCATTTTAGCCTGAGCCTGTTTCCTTAACTCTACAACAATATATCAGTCATGTCTGTGTCATATAATTGCATGTCTAAATGAGATAATGCATCTAAAAGGCATTATGAATGTCAAGTAGCTATTATTAATTAGAGTTGCAAAACGAGGGGCTTTGTCAACCAGTCGACAAGCTTTTATTACGCCTGTACTCCGTGCAGAAAACTGCAAAGCCCCGGGGGATACAAGGAGAAGCAGCCCCTGCCCTCAAGAAGCTTACATTCTAGTGGGGGAGCCCACATAGGTAAAAACTGGACGTGAGACATCTGTACAGTGTGAACGGAAGGCCATTTTCAGTGGAAGGCATGGAGAGGTGGGGGTGGGCTTCGTGACAATGAATAACCGGCACAGCGCCTGGACGGGCCCCCGCATCGGAACCAGGCTCCCCAAGCTCCGGGCAGAGCGTAGCCCTTCGTTCGAATTAGGGCTCACAACACGTGCCCGTCCCGAGCAGGACCCTCCCCGCTGTCCCGCAGGACCCTGGGGTCCCGCGTGTCCTATCTGGGGCTCGAAAAAGGTCTGCCCCCAGGACCGGCCTGCCCCGCCCCTCGCCAAGGGTGGGAGGGGGAAGGGGCAGCGGGCGGGGGGGGTGGAAAAGGGAGGGGGGAGGAGCGATGAGGAGGGAGGTGAAAGGAGGAGGAAAGGAGGAGGAGGAAGGAGGGAGGGAGGGGGAGGAAGGAGGGTAAAGGAGGAAAAGGAGGGGGAGGGAGGGGAGGAGGAGCAGCGAGGAGGAGGGGAGGAGGAAGAGAGGGAAGGGGGGAGGGGGAGGGAGAAGGAGAGGAGGAGGAGGCGGGGGTGGGGGGGGGAGGAGAAGGAGGGAGGAGGAGGCGGCCCGGCTGAGCTCGGGCTCCTCCCAGCGGAGGCCCCCGGAGGCGGTGGCTGCGTTCAGGAAGCTCCGCCCCGCCCCCTCCTCCTCCCGCCCCCTCCCCCTCCTCTTCCTCCAGCCCGCCCCCTCTCCCGCAGGGGCCCAGAGAGACGCGGACGGAGCGCCGCCGCCGCCCGCCCCTCGCCGTCTGTGCCACCCGCGCCCGCACCCATGGCTCTGTGCAACGGAGACTCCAAGGTCAGTCAGCGGAGCCGTCGCCGCTCTGGGCGCGCGGCCCTGGCCCGGGCTTCTCGGGCGGCCGCCACGGGAGAGTCCTCGGTTGGGGCCTGCCTGACTTCCCGCCGCCGCCGCTTTGTTGGGGCGCGAGTGTGCGCGCGCGCGCGCGCGAGTGTGTGTGTGTGTGTGTGTGTGTGTGTGTGTGTGTGTGTGTGTCTGTCTATCTGTCTGTGTCCGGACGCGGGGGGGGGTCGTGCCTGGCGCGCGTGTCCTGGGCCCGCGGGGGCCGTGCCCGGTGCCCAGCTGGGGGCGCTCGGCGGGGGAGGGGGCAGGGCCGCTGCGGGGTTCCCCCCGTCCGCTTTGTCCGACGGGCCCGGGGGGGCTGGGGGGGACGGGGAAGGCCCTGCAGCTCGCCCCGGCCCACGTGCGGAGCGCCGCCCCGCCCGGGCCCCACGTGGCTGCCCATCTTCGGCCTGGGCACGTGGGTGGGGGCCGGGCCCCGGGAGGGGAGGGGGCCACCCAACTTCCCCGCCTGGCCCGCCTGGGGTGCGCAGAGGGGGAAAGCCCGTGGGGTCGGATCCCTCCTCCCTCCGATCCCGCGTCCTCCGTGGGGTCGGGGCCCCTTCCCCCATCACATCCCCCCACCCCCACAGTTCGTTCGCTCTCTCTGGTATCCCATCCTCTTCCCTCGACCCCTCCCCCATGGGATCCCCCCCATTGGGTTACCCTTCGTCAGATCCCTCCACACCCCAGGGTTAGGCTCCCGCCCCCCCCACTCCCTCGCGTGCCTTGTGGGCACCCCGGGCCCCTCCTCTCTGAAGCTGGGCTTATCCACTTGGCCCTTCTTCCTTTCGTGCGTTTTCCTCCTCTGAGGGCCAGGATTTGAACCCTGAGCTGAGAGTTAGCGTTGGGTCCGGTCTGGGCTTCTTGGCCTGGAGGGTCCTTCGAAACTTTCAGAAAAGCAGCTCCGGCCGCCCGCTGGGCCACTGACTGATGCCAAGGCTTTTCACAGGGCCAAAGCCCATTAAGCATTGAAGGAGAGGACGTTTAATTCGTGTATTGGAAAAAAAAAACAAAAGTAGCATGTGGTCCTGAAGAAATCTACGTGGGCAGGACCTTGAAGCCTAGATATGTCTGCTCTGTCACTTCAGAAAAGACTTGGGGTCGAGTACCCCCGTGTGTCCTTGCTCCCCAGGTGGCATGGCCAGTCACATAACTTACCTGACCTTAGTTTGCTCATCGGTAATATGGGGATAATAGTAATGGGTAGTACATACTTCCTAACATTATAACAGGATCATAGATGTGAGATCATAGAGGCCAAACTCTTCATTTTACAGAATTGAGGTTCCTGCAAAGTACAGCTTTGGAAGCAGCGTTTGAACAGAAGCCCTCTAACTCCAGTGCCAATACAGAGAACGTACATGAATTGCTTTGCAAACTTAAACATCACATTGTTATTATTTTCATAGGTTTAATGAACAAGAAAAATTTTAAGATCCAATTATATTCCAATTAATTTCAGTAAGAATTTAGGTGCATATAAGTCATCTATAATTAAAGAGGGATCTTTCTGCTCCAAACCTGGAGGTTTGCCCTCCTCCTCGGAATGAATGCTATTAGTTTAATTTAATTTCCAAAACTCCCCCTCAAAAGCTTGTAGCCCTTTTCCTTCCTGTTTGGTTGGGGATCCCTTCTGGAGATTTATGGCATTTGAGGATGGCCAGACAAGGCTTGATCAGGACGAGGTGTGGATGGGTCATAGTTTGTGTTATTGATGTGCCAGTGGAAGGTTTGCAGGTAGGAGAAGTAATGCAGGCAGAGTTTTGCCCTGATTTTTACAAATAAGCCAACTGAGGATCTGAGAGGTGAAATGATTAGGGCCTATAGATTTACAGCAGGAAGGGATTTTAGTGACTGTTTAGTTCAACGAACCCTTCATTTTACAGATGAGGAAGTCAAAGTCCAGAGGTGTAGTGACTTTCCTAGTATCGTGCTAGGAGTGTCAGAGGATAGAATTTGAACCCAAGTCCCCTGACATCAGATCCATTGTGTTCTGTCCACTATGTGATTAACGTACAGATCACACAACCCGGAAATCATTTCGGGGGGGCTTCCAGCCTAGTAGTGCTCCTGACTCTAAGTGCTATCGTGTTTATGTCTCACCTGCTGTCTCTAAGGCAAATGAGTTTTAAGCATTGAAGACCCCAGATCTCAATAATTTTGAAATAGTTGTGTCCCGGTTTAATTGTTTGTTTCTCTCCATTTAAAGACATTTGTTGTCTTACAGTGTTATTAAGGCCTGATTTTACTGATAGATAAGATTTTAAATTATTTAGAGCTAGGTTGACAAGGATTATTATTAAAAAAGTCTTAGATGTTGAAATGGGAGCTGAGTGGCCTACCATTGCCCTCCCCCATCCCCAAAAGTGAATTGTCATTACTAAATCGTTTCAGCTTTGGCTCCTTAAAGTTGTGTCACTTAAGTCACATTTAAAATGCCTGTTTTAAAAATTATTCAGAGGAAGTTGATGTTGAATTCTTTTGTAAAATAACCCAGTGGGTTTTTTTTAATTCACTATTTTAAAGCAGGACAGTTTTATTACATAAATTCCATAGAGTTTTCAGGTATGTTAAAATTTCACTTTTTAAAATTTATTTAAATAAGCTAGAATTATAAATAAAACACTTTAAGTGTTTACTATGTGCCAGGCAGCTGGGGATGGTGGCACACACCAGGAGTAAATGATCCTTTCTCCTGGGAAGGCTGAGTCTGGTGGGTTGCTTGCGCTGTGCTAAGGTGGGGTGACTAAAACCTGGGACTAGAATGATGAACCACCTGGAGGAGTGGGGTGCCACCAGGCTGCCTAAAGCTCAGAGCAGAAACAGCAGGTCAGGGCTTCTCCATTGATTTACAGTGTGATGGGCCTATGAGAGTTGGCTGTTACCTTCTCTGTGGGTAAACCAGGGATTCCCAGTCTCAAATTAAACCAAGATAAAACACTTGTGTTCCAGGTACTGCCAGAAAAGATGTTGGCATGTAATTCAGCCTCTTTTTACAGATGAGGAAACTGAGTTCCAGGGTCTCTCACCACAGAGGTGAGACCTCCATCTTTACTGCAGCCATTTAGATTGGGGGAAGTGGTTGGGGTATTTAAGGCTAGAGAGGATCTGAAATAGTGGGAGCCCAGGCAGATCTCCCACTCAAATTCAACTGGTGAATTCTCTTAAGGGACTGCTATAACTAATACAATGACATTTCTGTAAGATCTTCACTTTGAATTAAAACACAGAATAAAATTCCTAGTTACTCATTAAAATCTCTGATTATAATTTTGTTTTTATTATTTATAATTTCCACAAAACTCTTGTTTTAGTAGAAAGATCACTGGGCTGAGAGCTAAGTGGCCTGGATTCCTTATTTAACTTAGATTGGGTAAATGGACAGTGGGCCAGTGTCTCTGTGCCTTATTTGACTTCTGTTCCAATGGAGATGACTTACTTCACTTTAGAAGAAAGCTATCATTTTGGTATGTCATGTGAAGATTCTTGTAGCTTTTTGCATAGAAGGCTTTAGGCCTGTTATGGAATGTGAATATTTTTAAGTGTTTAAACATTTCTTGTATAGAGGGCTTATAGGTGAGTGATGATGTGCAAGGTTTTTGAGCTACTTAATCTCGAAATGAAGGGCCAGTTGGCTTGGTGGATTGGAGCTGACCTTTGAAGTGGGTTCAGGTGGAGCCTCTGAGACATACAGGTGTGGGATCCTTCTTCATCAGGTTCCTCACCAGGGGCTTCTTCCTGCGTTATCACTGGTCTGGTGGGGGAAAAAAGTCTGCAAATTACAAAATAGAAACTTTAAATTCTGCTCAGTATCAGGATATGTAGTATATAGAAACTTACTCTGATCACATAATACATGTAATCAGATGTATGTCAGAGGTAAGAAGTCCACATATTATCAAACTTACTTTTATAGAGAGAAAACTGAAACGTGGACGTTAAGTAGGATTTATGTGGCTCTTACTATGGGCCACACACTCTGCTAACTGCTGTACAAATATTATCTCATGTATCCTCACAACACCTTTAGGAGGTACTAGTGTGAGCCCCATTTTATAGTTGGGAAACTGAGGCAGACAGAGGTTAGTGGATTGCCCAGGGTCACACAGCCAGTAAATGTCTGAGGCTGCATTTGAACTCAGGTCTTCCTGATTTCAGACCCACGGCTCTGTCCACTTTGGTGCCCCTTAAGTGCCATAAATGAATTGTCCATGATTGAAATCGAATTGTGCTCAGATTCCAAGTGATGTCTCAAAGGCTTTTTGCTTTAGTCTTGTCTTATCCTTCAATTCCAAAGATTCCCAGGCTGTTGCGGTGACTGGAGCATAGGAGGTGTGTAATAAAGGCTTACTGAATTCAGTGAGTCAGAAGACACAGGGAATGTGCTGCTGTTGGTTTGCTTTCAGTTATATTGTGTTGCAGAAAGTTGGAAATTTTGAAAATTCTCCCAGTAACAGGGTTATTGTTGAATGAGGAGGACAAACTTGTTACTTGGAGTATTTTTTTTAAAGGACAAACGTTTCCTTTTAGGTATTGAAAACTTTTTGAAGATCCTGCTTAATGAAATACAAAGTAATTCCTAACAAAGATTTGTGGGAAACCACGAGGAAATCTTCCTACTCCTCTAATGGTGTGTGGAGTAAACTGTTGTCAGCTTTCCTTAGAACTCTCCATTGATGTGAATCATGATGAATGATTTTAAGGCATTGGAGGCTTCCTCCCCCTAGGGCCTTCTGAGGCTCCCTCTTCCTCCCTTCTTTCCTATCCCTCCTCTCTCCCAAGAAAAACACTTGTTTACTTTGGTTCTGATAGACTGGAAAGGGCCTTGGATCCGAGCCAACAAACTGGGGCTTGGGTCTCAGCTCTGATAATTGCCTTGACTGTAGGAAAATCACTTACCTTCTTGCACTTGTGAAAAAAACCCTGAGAATAATAATTCTTACTCTTCCTACCTTAGT